AAGTTTTTTTTTTTTTTATAGTAGGAGCAAGATTCAATGAATAGAATGACGATGAATCACAAAGCTGAACATCATTTTTTTCTGGATAAAATGGCAATAGTAGGAATTTTCATGGATATACAATACATTATGTAAAATTTAAATTTGTATGTTATAGTTTTTAAAATGTATTATGTAAATTTTTCTGTCAATGGCTCATTGTTTTCCTTAAAATGATACAAAACTGTTACTGTGACACAGCTTTATAAATATAAAAATGATCATAAATATAGAATTTCTTGTAACTGATGTTTTATTAGAAAAAGAATTTCTCAATTTTATTCATCTATGACTAGCAAAAATATATGTATTTCTGTGATGTTTTATGGTTGTGGACTAGGTCACCAATTTAAAATCCAGCCTTTTCGACCTGACTCTTTTATAGATGCTAAGAAATTGCGACACAGATATCTTTCAAACACTTTTGGTTTAAAGGCAAGAATGAGTTTTTAAAAAGATAAATATCACAGGCAGCTCATTGTACAACTTGTATGTATAATTAGCTGATAAATCGCAGTTCTTATTTTGCTGTACTACAGGCATGATCCAAACAGCTAAGCATTTTTAAAGGCCCCTGATTTCAGAGGGTGACTCAAAACATAGGCTTAAATGCATTTTAGTAAATAAGCAAGACTCAAGATAGTGGCTGAATTGTGCCTTGTTTCGGTTTTTTTCATCTGACAGCAGCTTGAAAGTCTTTTTTCTTCCTTTTTTTTTTTTAGCAGGCGAAAAAGAAAAACAGTGAGGTCCTTACAGCTTTACAAGAGGTTGTTGTTGTTTTACTTCAACATATAACTGTAGTGACTCTTAGAAATAGCTATTTCCACAACCAATCATAACATTCAGTGCAACACTGTGATCTCCAATGTACAATATTCAGGAACTCTTTAAAGATCTTTCATTCAGACCAGCTTGCAATACAATACTGTATATGTAAGTTCTATTCATGGTGGATGGCAAAAGTGAATGAAATTCTAATATCTTGCTATCATGTTTAAAAGAGCTTTTATGATCTGATGTCTATCCTTATGGATTTACACTTTTGGGCAGGCAAAGATGGGCTGACCAAATGGTTTGACTGGCATGCTTATATATGAATCATGCAACATGGTTTGCATGTGGTGAACAAGAACAAACAAGCCCACTCAGAACTTTTCAGATGCCATAGTCAGACATTACAAGTATGATCATAAGTACCTGAAAGGCACCAATTTGCATTGGTGCAAACCTATCTTCCCAAATTGATTTCTATCCTTATGGAGTGTCTAACTTCCATGCCCAGGGCCTGTGCAAATTCTTTCCTTAGATTTATACAATGCTCAGCATTTCTAGCCTTATATGCGAATGGCAGGAGCCCCAAGCTGAAATAAGAGAACTGAAATGCTTGATGTTAGAAGAAAACAGAAAAAAACAAGTGTTATATAAACATTGTGGAATGAAAATAACCAAGGTCTACAGAAAAGAATGTCTTTTGCCAAGGACAAAAGGATGTTGAAAGGGAAAATCAAGAGGGTCAGTTCTTTCAGTAACACTTAGAGATTATTCCAGACTACAATAATAGAATTTCAGGTAGAATGTACTGTATAGCTTAGATTAGGAAAGTTTAAGTGGACATTGCAGTGGCTAATGAAAGGGCCAGAGGTACTATGAAAGTCAAGAGGGCTTCTTTCAAAAAAAAGTCTTGACCAAATGAAGAGAATGGAAAAGAGCATAAACTCTTTTTGCATAAAAGACGCAAAAAGAGTTTGCAGAGCATGTGGAAAGAACATTAAGAAGACCACTGACAAAAAATTCTTCAAATGCATTCAGAATACAGTAATAAATCAACCAGGAGGCCATTTGACTGTTGGATGACAGAGAAATTAAAGGCGTGCTAAAGAAGAGTAGGGAAACAATACAGAAACTGAAGGATTTCTAATGGTCTTCACTTCTGAAGACATAGGACAGATGCTAAACTGTTTTTTTCAGGAGGAAAATTGGATGAGCTGAGACAAATAGATGTAATGAAAGATGAATTTATAGTCTGGACTGACAGACTAAAAAATTATCAGTCCAGACAGTCCAGAAGTTCTTAAACAATTTAGGAAATTGCTGATACTTTTACAAAAATAAGCCGTTCTCCATCTGTTGTAGATATGCTGCAGATCAGCATCTGTTTCCTGACTAGATATTAGCTAAAGTGGCTCCAATTTTTAAAAGGGACTGAGGGGAAATAAAAGGAACTATAAGCCAGTTTAACATTTATTTGAGGAAAATGGTTAAAATATTAAAGAGAAAGTAAGCAAACACATGAAAGAACAAATCTTGTTGAAAAGGAACCAACACAGCTTCTGCAAATAGAAATCTTGTCTCATTATCCATCCAGACTTTTTTAAGGGTATCTACAAACATGTAAGAGTGATCCAATAGATACTGTACACTTTGAGTTTTGAACAATCTATGACAAAGTCTCTCATCACAGATGCCATGCAATAAAGGGGAGTAGATACTGTGACCCAACAGATACTATATACTTGGATTTTCAAAAACCCTTTAGCAAAATTCCTCACAAAAGTTTCCTGGGTAAACTCAGCTGTCATAGGGTAAGAGGAGAGGTGCTATCCTGGATTGCCAGCTGATCCAAAAACAAAGAATAGACTCAATGGGCAATTCTCATGCTGGTGGGATCTGCAAAATGGAATCTCCTAAGGATGAGGGTTTGGTCCAGTGGTTTTTAACCTGTACATAAATGATCTACAGATATTGCTGAGTAATGAAGTCACCATGATACCAAACAATATAATCTTTTTGGTGCCTTCAAGTCAGTCTTGACTGCCTGGACAAGTCTATGCAGGTTTCTTGGCAAGATTTTGCTACGACTGAGACTGGCCCAGCTGGTTATGTGTTCAGCTGGGACTAGAACTACTAGTCTCCCAGTTTCTAGCCTAGCACTGTAACCACTTTCCCAACTGGCTCTCACCAAACTATATAGTGGGATAAAATTAAAAAGGAACTGTGAAAAGCTTGAAAAGAAAACTGGATGAATTGGCTTTGAAATGACAAGTGCAATTCAATAAACAAGTATAAAGGGATGCTGTTGGCATAAAAACCACATATACATCAATGGTATCTGAGCTGGTGACTGGGAAAGGGGTCTTGGAGCCACAATGGATAGGAGGATAAAAATGCAAATTCATTTGCAGCTGGTGTGCAGCTGGTATTTAAAAAATGCAAATCTCATGTCTCTATTAGGAAGCAATTTGAAAATAGGACTGCCAAGGTAATGACTTGGTGTATTATGTACAGTTCTAGAACCTTTAAAAAGGATATTACAGAAGGGAAAACATGCAAAAAAGGGTAACCAAAGTGATTAGGAAAACGGAGCAGTTTCTCTGCAAGAAAAGACTACAGTTGTTGAAGCTCTTTAGGTTAGAACAAAACTATTTTATAAGACAAAAGCAAAAAAGGCATGAATCGCAAGGGAAGAGGCAGATTTTTCTCCATCTCACAATGATGGAACTTGAGATATTCCAATGAAACTGAAATGGAGGGAAATTCAGAACTCACAGAAGGATTTTTTCCCTATGTAGAGTCTAGCTATACTGGGAAATTTGCCACCAGTATTTGTGATAACACAGCTAACTTGGATGGTTTTAAAAGGGGACTGTACAGGGTTAGTTGAAGAGCAAGCTATTAATTGCTACTAATACTTAAGGCTGTGAACAGCCTCCTGAATCACAGACAGTCTGCTGGTTGCTAGGGATTGATAGTGGAAAGGGACATTGGGCATTGTCCTCCAGTTACACTTATGAAGTTCCCAAACACATCCAACTAGTCATCGTGTGACCTTGAATGCTGGATGAGATGGGCCATTGGGTTGCTCTGGCTTCTGCATATTCTCCTCTAATCCAGCTATTTAGTTGTTCAATTTATACTTTATTTTTCTGATCCAACAAGTCCTCACTTTTGAAAGCTCCCCAAACTAATTTCTTGGGGTTGTGTATTCTCCAATTATTTTAAGAGAAATACAGAAGATCTATATGCAAACCTTATATTAAATAAAAATATACACTTAAAATGGTGAATATAATATATTTTTCTAAATTTTTCTGAGAGATTTGGTCATAACTTGAATACGGCCATATATGTAATCATTTCTTGCCAAACATGTGGGAACACTGTAATGGACCCTTTCCTCTTTGGAACAGTGACTGTGAAATGTTAGATTTAAGCGGAACATAAAATGATAAAACATTTAAACAACTGTTTGTATCAATGAAGCTAACTGCAACCTGTTTTCAAAGTTGGAATATAGTTGGAAATATTAAATACATGTATTTAGTATTTTACAAATGCTTCTTAGAATTTATTTTGATTTTAGTATATACATTGGAAAGTTATTAAGTGTATTGGCTTTCTTAAGTGTTTTGAAGGCCAAAAAAAAAGTTTTGCTTTGCTTTTGTAAGAGCAAAAACTTATTCTTTCTAAATTAGAAATTATGTCAAACTTTCTCATTTGCAGAATTAAGATTTAGATGTAATTTAATTCAGACAGTAGAAAAACCATTTTTCTGTGTTGCTTACAATTTCAGTAATATTTGTATGGAATGATGTAAATAATAATTTTTATTACTCTTGACTCTCTAAATTTTGTTTACAGATTTCAAGAAAAGAAATTCTGGCATTTACAAATGATGGTATTCTCCTTAGGTTTTTGCTCCTGGATGCTCCTGGGGAAGAAAGCAAGAAGCTAAACTGAAGAGCATGCATATGAAATAAGGTATAAACTAGATCTAAAATTTAGAATGCAAATGATAAACTATATAATGATTACTTTCCATTTTGGATCCTTTATCTGCAAAGGTTCTAACTTCAATGGCAAAATGAATGAATATTCAGAACCTGAGAAACATTAATGGTAAGGGGAAGGAAGGAAGGAAGGAAGGAAGGAAGGAAGGAAGGAAGGAAGGAAGGAAGGAAGGAAGGAAGGAAGGAAGGAAATCTAGAAACACACATTTCTAGAAAAAAATGGTTCCCTCTCTCTGATTCTTTTGGACTGAAAAATATGGCTGACAATTTCCCTATAAACAATTTATATAAAGCTGACATATGGCCTACTGAACAAGGCTCTTGAATCCTCTCACTAGACTTCCTGACAGAACACTGTGTTCCTATGATAATGTTTAATCTCATTGTTTTTAATGTTTATGACACAATATATAGTTTACCTTCATTTCTGTCCTCTGCTTGATGTCAGAATAATACTGAATGGCTAGTATCCTGTTGTGACAGTGAAGATTTAAATACATGAAATCAATGTCGGTGTTGTTTTGCTCCAAGCTTTGGGGTGGGGGGAAACCACTTTGAGAAAGCATCTGAACTCACTGAAAATAAAATAATAAAAGCTTTCCAATATAATGACAAATAATTCATGTTTATGATTCCAAAGTCTAGCAATAGCTCTTTACTGTCTCCAATTTGCATTTAGTTCAATCTGGATAACAAAGATCTTTTGTAGAAATAATGACATCTCCCAGCGGGATGTCTGATAGAAAGTTTTATTACTATTGCATTATCATTTCATATGGCCAGGTTCTGGAACTGGTGAAAATCCTTGCTCCTCATTGAGAAATCTAGCCTTCATCTCCTTTTCTTTTAAAAGTGGCATTTGGCCACTGGAGTCAGTCCACACATCTGAATCTCTGTCAGACTTTCTGTGAATTGGTGCCACAAGAGAGCTGAATTTCTGCACTTTGCATATGATGGTTCCAGCTAGCTGACCAAGTATGCACATTGCAGGTGCTTTACAGTCTCCTCCTTCTTGCAGAAATAAAAAGCGAAGACCTTTAATTATAAACTAAGCAGATGTCTCTCCAGATTTTAACGCAACAAGTTCAGAGTCATCTATATACTTTCCGTTCAGCTGCTCACTGTTGGTATCATGATGATACAGATAGATTGGAACCTCTGTGATAGATGTTGCTGTGTAGGAGGTAGACCGTGTAGAACAATGGTCACGGCGCCTTTGACCCCATTGGGTTTTATACTGCATCCATTGCCGCTTCAGAGCTCCTTGGACCTACAACCAAAATACATTAGTTGTTTAGATGAATACCTCTAAATTAACAAAAAAGATCGATAGATCTTCTATTCCTGCAAAACACATTTAGAATGGCAATCACTTTCAATGAAAATACAATTCAATTGTTGACATCCCACATACCAGATTAGGAGTGACTGCTGTAACTATTAACGATCTCAATAAGAGCCTGAATGGGATCGAACAAAGTGCAAGTGGAATTCTGTTCATGCAAAAGGAGTTTCTTGCCTCCTTTCTAAAACATGCCCCTCCTTGATAGGGTATGTTTAGAGATCAGGAACTCTCCAGAATTGTGCAGGATTGGAAAACTGTGCTTCTGGAAATTGAATATAGAAAGAAGAAGCAGAAATCAGAGTCAATCCTTCTTTTGCCTGAACAGATGTTTCTTTCATTCAAGCTGGGCTTCTGCCCTCTGCCTTGACTTCTTTGGATCCAATGGTGCCAGAAGTTATGCTGTTTTTGTGAATTTGGGGGAAAAGAAAATATTAGCTGTCCAATGTATGACTCTCAGAGGAGATTTACTACTCCTTATGGTAATGGTTTTAATATTTTTTAACTTGCAAACTGCTAGAAATGGTTAGTTATTGTCCAGAATATAAATAGTAATACAAAAAATAAATAAAACAGTAAGTTCACACTGTACCATTACAAATAAGTCCCAGTGAATCTTTGAAATGAGGTCAATCCCTTATAGGAGTCCCACAAAGGTCACCTAGTTGGCATTTCCATGAAGCATGGAGCTAGCCCCCTAAAGAGTTATTTTCTATAAGGTAGCATTGTAGCTAAAATCTATGTCTTCTAACTGATAGTGCCAATAGTCATTCAGCATGGAAGCAATTTAACTCAGTCTCGCTCAATGGAATTTAGAGGTCTTTCAGATGGCCTTTGTTGTACAATCTTCCTTGATTCTCCTTCCAGAGAATCTTATAGGATCCATATTTGCCAACTTCCACTTGTACCTCAGTTCTGATCTGTAATTCTTGGCTGGCACCATGGATTCAGATGTGGTTTATTCTTCAATTCTAGGTCCTCTAGGTCAGTTCTGGGAGTTGAAGTCCACTCATCTTAAAGTGGCCAAGTTCGGACAACACTGACTTAGGGGTAGTTTTCCAAGCTTCTGGAATCCGAAATGCCCATTGCGACTATTTATCTCAAAGGGCATCCAGATCATCCTCAGCTATACAAGCCTTCGCTTTTAATCAACATACACAGGCCATGCCAGCTGCTGTTATTTACAGCTCAAGCTTATGCCCACTTATTGCTTGGGGTTCAATTAGGCCTATATGGTGAGATGCTAATATTAGAGAAAGTTCAATCCAAATTTTTGGAAAACATTTTCCAGGTCCCTTGCTGCATTCCAAATATGGTACTTAGGCAAGAAGCAGGAGCCATTCGAGTTGAATCTGGCCTTTAGATTATTATCTTTAATTTTTGGCTGAAATTATTATGTAATCCAGCTGGATTGGCCCCTTTCATTATAGGAGATACTTTTGGCTCCACCTGGGGGAAAAAAAAAACATTTCTAGGAAGCTACACTTCTGTGGCTTTGCTTGGGATGTCCTTTTGCTATTGGGGCTAGAGCAAGACAATTCAATTTGGAATCAAACGATCCTAGAAGGCCAGTTGGATTATGCAGCTTGTCCCCGATGAGGTATTCCTTAACAACCAGTTTCCAAAATATAAATCAACCAGCCATTTGGACAAAATCACTGTTTCAAAATTCAGAAGAGCTCAATTCCTTGGCTCAGTTTAGCACTCTTCCTACAGCAGTGTTGAAAGGGAACAACTGGAAAATCACTTTTGCCAAATGATGCTGCCCCAGTGGTGCACGGGTAATTCAGTGCGGGTTTTGTTATATGGCCAGTTCTACAGGGACACTGGTTTGCAATTGATCTCCCCTCTACTCTCTAAATCAGTGTTTCTCAACCTCAGCAACTTTAAGCATGCTGACTGGGGAATTCTGGGATTTGAAGTTCACACATCTTAAAGTTGCCGAGGTCGAGAATCACTGCTCTAAATTCCCAGAGCATTCTGACTTTACTTGCATTACCTATTAGATAACAAAGACAATTCTGTGTCTTTTGCTAAGGTTTGTTATACAGTGTAAACTCTACCCTACTATGACTCTTACCTGTTAATGGTTATGCAATGTTTTACCATGGTGTTTTTTGTTTTCTATTTGGGTCTATGACCATAATAAAGTCTTATCTATCAATTTACAATCTATCTACAGAAGTGTTGTCCAAACTTGGCCACTTTAAGATGAGTGGACTTCAACTCCCAGAAT